TCCTCGAGAGCCTGACGAAGCTGATCTTCGGTATATTGAGGCATTATATATAGAAGAAGACATGTGCAAAAGATGAGCCCATTTGGACGCGAATTGAAAATGTTGTGATAAAAGGAGGTTGGGGGTGGGCATTGGGTTGTGGTGGATTTTCGCGTTTTTGTGGGTGCCAGAAACAGGGGGGTGCCAGGAAGTGGGTATGTTGACTTATCTCAGAAAATAAAAAGGTCTGAGAGAAAGCCTTATCCAAGATAGGCTATGGATCTATGATCTGTGGACCACCAATCTTCACGACTAGCTGCCTTTTCTCTATAGACCAAGAAACTTCGATTAGCCCAACCCACTGGATGGGGCATCTTAGCGCGTTTAGTTTGGGGGCCGGACTCCAGCCACACATCACGTTGGTCTCACGAGGACGCGAGATCAAGAAGTCACACGTCGAAATGTAATCAACGGTGTTCTGTCGTCACGATGCACGAGCTATAATGAATGTGTGTCCTGGGAGGCCGTAATGCCTGAACCGCCTGTGTATGGGATGATTGCAGGAAGAGTCCAAATTGTATGTACTTTATCATGCGATTGAAACCTATCTTAAAACCATTGACTCTGCAAAGGACATCTCTACTAATGTGAGTCAAATCCCTGCTTTTGCTCCCGTAAATCGGTGTTCGTACATAAGGTATTGACAAGATCAATCCACTGACAATGGATATCAAAGACAGCAACTGTGCCTTCTCCAAGTTTAATCTACCCTCTGTGCAGCCAGTTCTCAACCTTGTGTTGCGGGCTTATTTTCTTCTTATGGGAATGCTTATGCCTGTTGTCATAAATTGTCTTCGCTTCTCCGGTTCTCGGATCCGGAACCATAACCTTGACATTGTTCTTGGTGTCCACGTCGATGATGGCTGGTATTAAAACACTGGAGCTCGCGGCTGGAAATGACTCTTCGTCGCTTGCATCGTGAGAAAAGTCAGATCCTGCTGTCGGCTGGTCTTCCCGCGGTGCTGAGTTGGACGGATAACGGAACGTGTATGTGAATGCAGTTGCTGGATTCGGGCTTGTCTTGATGGGTTGCTGATAGTAGGACATCCGTGGCAATGGTTGCATGTAGTTATAACTCCGATACGTTGGCGAGCGCGAAAAGTCCCACTCGATATCTCCTACCACATTGTCAGAAATAAGCGACATGATTTGGTGAAAGAGACTCAAAACAAACCTGTGGCGCTCATTCGGCTTCTGTAGTAGAATCCCCTGCCCTCAGCATCGCGGACCCATGACGACCAAGGGCCAGGAGTTGGGGCCGCATAGTATTCTTCATAGGCTGCTCCTACATTGGAAGTATCTGCTGGCGACTCTCGAGTCGGACTACTCTTCCGAGAGCCTTTGGTGGCATGCTTTCGATGCGTCATGTTGTCGTCTAAAACTGGTCGATCTGATGGTGAAATACCTTACGCAAGACTCTCAGGCAGTTTCTTCGCGGAAAGGAAGGCCTCGTCAAGAGGGGAACGGGTTCTTATAGGAGCCAAATATCAAACGCCCCCGAAATCATCCGGTCCTTGACGACTCAAGAGCACAACAGCGCCCCGACATGAGAGTCACAATGCGAAATGGAATAAAAAGCCGACTTGGCCAACGTGGAGGGTCAGATCAGGCAAGGCAACCTTGGGCTGGAACCGGGCAGTGAAACCACGCGTCTGGCTCGATCTGGCCTCGTCCATTGGCGAATCACCGCGCAAGGCAGTCAGATCTCAACAATTTGGGCATTGTTGATAGTTGAGCCACACTTTTTGCCAAATTAAAGGCGCTCTCAAGCCGAGCCGTCCAAGCAAAGCCGCTGCACCGCCTGCATCATGACATATGGCAACCTTTACAACAACTTGTGGCTCGATCCGGCGGTGGCTCACGAGACCGAGCTGCAGCCTAGTTCAGGTTTTCTTGAGATGTCATATGACAGGTCAGCGCGAGCTCCTGTCAGCGCTTTCGTCCGCATTGCTTACATATGAGGAGAGTTGGTGCCACAGCGAATCACATTAGCTTGACGTATTGGACGCGGGCGAACCATCGAGCCTGGCGGCCCAATTCGAAAGCCATTCTGCCTGATGCCACAAAACGGCTTCTGTCGCAGAATTTGGCTAAGTTGAACCTGTGGGAGGCAGCCTGTGATACCAATTTCAAACTTATGGAATTCCAATGCGGGTCGGGCATTTCAGGCTGCGCCGCCCGCATCCGACTTTGTGCACGTGTTCATAGACTGAAGGATAGTAGATTCCAGTTTTTCAGGGAGACCGACTGACTTCTTCATCCAATAAAAGACCTCTTTCCGATGTTTGAAGTGGCAAGAATGCAGAGACTGTGCTCCAAGTCTAGTGGTGCTATTCTTCGGTCTTTTGGGCAAAGAGCCGGGGGCATTTTGGTGACAATGATCTTACTTAAGTAGATGCGTCAAATTCTGATGATAGTTGAGTGCTGGAGCTTGACCTTGATGTCTTATACTTCGAGCAAGTCCTCATATTAGATCAGCCTTTACCTAAGTGCAATCCATAGAGTCGCGTACTAAAATCATTGCATGCAGCCTACTACGGTTCTGTGTCATGTGGTAATTACTTCGAGAAGCACCATAGGACTTAGATGGGTCGTCTAAACGTCGGCACTTGCATGTAGTTACTCCCGTATATCACATGTTTCCACGACTGGGATTCAAAAGAAATGTTTGCTGGTCTTTGTAGTGGGGTAGCAGTAGTATTTCAGACTGAGGAAATGGTAAAGCCTCAATCTAGCCATAATCGAGGTCGACACTTGGTCTTGCGCACTTCGAATCGCCGCCATCTTCGCTTAGACGCGGCTTCTCCTTTCCCAGGCTCGTGCCAGCGACCAATATGATCTTTTTGTTATTTATCATATGTGTCAACTCACCATTTTCAGCTGAAATAGGTAAAATTACTCTATCACTATCTGCCACCTTGTCGATACCCCGCGCGTTTGGGTGGCCATCGCAACTGAATTCCGGCGCCCGACCTGCTCCGACTTGCCTTTATCGGATCTATAGGCCCCCTTATCAACATCCGGGTGCTTGTGTCCGGCCCCCTCAGCCTAATAGCCACCAACCCCACCCCCATTCTCAATAGCATTATCAAGCAACTCACCAAAGCATCTTCCCCACCTCTGATATATACGGATTAGACTAATTCTTGGCCTAAAGTCATGCCTCCGAATTGCGGTCTTAAAGTAGCAGAGGTCATCAAACATGAAGACGCGAGGGGAGACAGGATTAGAGATGCAGTACCCATAGTTTTCAGACTGTGATCCCAATCAAAGACTTCGTTGCAACAGTTGTTTGCGTCTTCTATAACAAGTACCCACAATTCATTGCATCTCAGCCTCAACGACATGTTGCGTTTCCTTGGATTCTCTTCGGCAAGTAACGACGCCAAGCCAGAGCCTTCACGAAGTCTTCCAGCTTCGTGGTACAGGTCTCCAGAACTGCATCAGCTCGAGAGAAGAGCAATTATATCAAGAAAGTGGATCCTGGTGACACATTCGCTACGCTTCAAACAAGCGGGCGAGTTTGTCTCCTTCGTCTACGCCGACTTCCCTTTCTTCCTCGTCCAAGACCGCGATGGCAATATCAACGGCTTTCACAATGTGTGCCGCCACCGAGCATATCCTGTCGTCGAGAAGAAGTCTGGCAAGGCGAGCATACTAAGCTGCAAGTACCACGGCTGGTCATACGGGTTCAAGGGCAATCTTGCCAAAGCGCCGAGATTCGATACGGTAACCGGCTTCGACAAGAGCCAAAATGGCCTTCTCCCAATCCACGTTCGCGTGGATCCCGCTGGCTTCATTTGGGTTAACCTCCAGGCAGGCGAACCAGACGTCAAGTGGGAAGACGAGTTTGGCGGTGTTTACCAGAAGCCGCGTATGCAAAACTTTGACTTTGCAGGAGGCTACAATTATGACCACGTCTGGGATATGGAGCTGGAGGCCAACTGGAAGGCCGTCATTGAGAATTACAACGAGTGCTACCATTGCCCAACATCACACCCCTTGATTGCGGGAGTGTCGGACTTGACGAAATATCAAGTAAAGCCAAGTGGAGGTTGCTTGGAGCACGAGATCATCAACAAGAAGGCTCAAGATGAGGAAGACGAGTTTCGACGCTCGATCACCTTTTTTTACCCCTCAACTTCAGTGACGATCACGTAAGTGACCTTATAACGAGTGTCAAGATTCAGAAGTCACAAAAGGGCAGAAACTGACGAAACCTGTAGTCAGAACTTTTTCTACATCCAGCGAATGATTCCAATCAGCGCAACCAAAACCCGAATCGAGAACGAGGTGTATCGCTCTCACGACTCCACCGATGCCGAGTTCGCCGCCATCAATGCGTTCTACAAGCAGGTGCTAGAGGAAGACCGAGAGTTGTGCATTGGCGCACAGGAAAACCTCAGTGCTGGCGTCTTCATTAGCGGCGAGCTTCATCCAGAAAAAGAGAGGGTACGGCAAGGAACTCTTGATACCCTCCCAGCACTACAGTCCGATACTGACACATTCGCTCAGGGCCCGATTCATTTTCAAAACACGGTTCGAGAGGAGGTGATGAAGCACCGGCAAAGGGAGTTGGAGCAAGGAGGCCGAGAAATCTGGCCAGCCACGCCCAACCTACTCGGCCAGACGGGCACAGGGAAACTGAATGAAGACGAGGCTTTCTGCTCGGAACTCGAGAAAGCTAACTGTGGTGGCCGAGAGGAACTAGCCTGGTGAGCCATACGCTCTGTTGGTGCATGTGATGATCAATATCGGCACGGCCTGGCTGTACGGAATACGATGTATGATGGCATATGGAACTTTCAGCGTTGGTTTAGCCTCGTGACTTTCCTAGCATCTGGGTTTCTACCCTTTCAAACGAAATTGCAATCCAGTTCTCTACGACAGCATTCCTTTCCTCTGTCTAGGTTGGTGACTTGTTTGTGATGTAGCGCCGATGACTGAGCTACGGCGGCGAGAGCATTGGTGTGTGCGTAGGTCAGTCAGGTCTTGTTGCTGCTTCTAGAAAAATACTGTAAACCCTGATCCCTCTCAAAATTGACTGGGACTTAGTCTCCAGCTTGCCAGCTTGGTTGCAGATTCGTATGGGATTCTGGCCTGAAGTCCAGTCGCCACATGACTCTAGAAAGACTATCACCAAGAGTGGGGTTCCAAGCATGCACAGCATCGAAAATTGCGGTTACGATTCGCTGAACTTTACAGCCCTCACCGAAATCCCAATCCATCTTTAGTGCGACGTAGTTGCAAGCCCGGGTTGCATGGCGATCAACATGCTTCTACTATGACCTCTGATCCTGCAAAGGAACTCTTCGCATGAGTATGCATATGCAGGAGAATTTGTTGGGCCCTCGGAGGAGCTATCTTGGAGTAGATCTTATCTATCCGTAGCATGAGGGGAAAGTGGGTTTTCCGGCGGGGGAGAAATGGAGGCCGAGAACGGAACACCATCCGCGGCGAGTAATCTTCCTTAGTGTGACCAACGCTTATCAGTGAGTAAGGTGGTATCAATTTCGAGCTGTTGAACTTACTCTCGGGCGATGCCGTGAGATGGTGCGACCACACCAGATGCTATCATTGCACCCCACTCTTCAAGAGTCCAGTCTGGGCGAGCACGAGGAGCCGAGACGCGAAGGGAGAGGGGTGGATGACCTTAAGGCTCACATGAATTGAGTGAGCAGGGTTCCAGGCATCTCATGAAGCAACTTCAACTATATCAGCAAAGATCTATTACGACAAGATTGAGTGATGTTCTAAAGACATATGACACCGGCACCCATAAGCTTGCGATCAGCCAACATCATAGCATCAGATCAAGGTATTTTCAAAGACGATACCATCTTCCGTCTGGAAATACTCCAATAAGGCAACATGGCAGCGCTCGAAATTCCAATCATTGACTTCTCTGGTGAGTCTGCAAAGAACCTCGTGCTGCAGCAGCCGAAAAAGGTTAGCTTGGTCTTAACAGTGATATCCACCCTTAGGTTTCTACTCTGAAGACCCTCTTCAGAAACAAAAGGTCGTAGACCAAGTGCGTGACAGCTGCCTGTACAATGGCTTCTTCCAGATAGTTGGCCACTCCGTGCCTCTGGTGCAGCAGAAGGCTGCCATGAGCGGTGCCAAGAAGTTCTTTGCTATGCCTCTCGAAGAAAAGCAAAAGGTCGCTAAGGAGAACACGACATGGAACCGCGGCTACGAGATGTTGAGATCACAGATCCTTGAGGAGGGAACTCAACCAGAACTCAAGGAAGGCTTCTACATTGGTGCCGAGATCCCTGAGGACCACCCTTACTTCATCAACAAGAAGCTCAACAGTGGACCAAACCAGTGGCCCGAGGGTCTGGGTAGCGACTTGCAGAGCTTCAGGGGTTCCTCAATGGAGTACTACTCTTCGGCTCTCAAACTTGCTTCGGATCTCATGCGGGTCATTGCACTATCATTGGACCTGGAGGAGACCTACTTTTCCAAGTTCATGGATGGAGCTGTAGCGACAATGAGACTTCTGCACTACCCGTCTCAACCCAAGGATGCGGACGAGAAGTTGACTCGCGGAATCGGTGCCCACACTGACTTCGGAGCCATTACCATGCTGCTTCAGGATGAGGTCGACGGCCTGCAGGTATGGGACAAGAAGAACGAGACATGGATCGACGTAAGTGGAACCCCCACTCCCTACTGCAGAGCACCGCTCTTAATCACTTCATATTTCAATAATGCTAATCAGCCACTCTTAGGTCCCACCAACGGAAGGTACCTTTGTTGTAAACTTGGGCAATCTCATGGCAAGATGGACCAACGAGTTGTACAAGAGCAACATTCACAGGGTCATCAACAAGTCTGGCCAGGAGCGCTACTCAATCCCCGTTTTCGTTTCTGGCAACCCAGACTACTTGGTTGAATGCATCCCCACTTGCAAGTCAGCGACGCAGCCAGCCAAATTTGGACCGGTCACGGTTGAGCAAGCAGTCTCTGCTTCGTATGCAGAGTCGTATGGAAGGGCACAACTGTACAAACAGGGTCTGGAGCAAGCCACGGCTAACAAGGTAAAGGCTCAGGAAGCTCAACCAGCGCAAATCGCTGTTGCGTGAAGCGTCACTATTAGAGGAGCATGTAAACAAATTTTCAAAAGCATGTAGCAAAGTGTGATTTGAAGAAATTTGAGATAAGGATCATTGATGGCAATGCTGAGATTTCACAAAGAAAACATTATGTCCAGTCCTGTTCCCCAAGTCTACGATACACCAAGTCTCT